AATCAACACTTGTTTGTGTTGCGACAAATTGTGTCAGTCAGTTTGTGGAAAAGATTTCACTTTTGTGTACACAATATGAAATACTGTTGTACAAGCATGATTGAGATATTTCTGTTCTTTATGTAATTTCTCATTTGAGTGGCATTAGGGCTGTGTACAGAACATCTCTCTCTTTCTCCTGTCTGTCACCTACAGGTCCCACATTGTTTTTGTAAAGCTCAGGGAGATTAGCCGCCATCTTGCTCTTGTTTTTGGTTTTTTTTTTTTTTTTGTATTTAGACCACTTTTCTCTGTGACGATTACAGAGGCTGTAAATAAACATTTGAATTTGCTATCCAACTGTGTGGCTCTGCTGTGAGAATAATTGACTATGAAGAGTTACTGCCATTTTTATGGTACAAGATGAAGTAAATTAGTCTTTTACAAGGGTAATCCTCTACTGCATTTAAAGTATTGTTTCCAAGAGACTTTACTTTCATTTTTCTTTGTGACCCCCCCACACTTTCCCCACTCACTTCACCTGCAGTGGTTAGAGAAAAGCAGTAGCGCTTCCTGCTCTGCATCTCTCACATTCAGAATCTCTCTACGAATATAGATGCATGTATCAAATGCGTATATGTAGAAGCGAGAACAGGCCACATGCTATTTCCTGTCTTCAACTTGCACACAATCTCACTCTTAGACACAACAAAATCTAATTCCTGAGCACTGAACAGCTTTCATTTCAATGTTAAATCTTTTAAAAAATCACAATGATGCCGTCCAGCGTTCTGGAGAAATTTGGTTGATTACCAACTTTAGTAGGTTTTACAGTTGCAATAATATTGAGGATAGTACAGGGTATAAAAGCCTGTGGAAGCAACTCCTCACGCTCTACCCATAAACACTCACCACAATGATACAAGACTAATAAAATGTGGTTCAGTGGAAAAGTTCTAATGGGGAAGTGGGGGGATTTACAGGAATAAACAGAAAGCTTTCTGATCACTGTTACAATGGCAACTTCTTAGGTGATTTGCTGCTATGTACTGTGTTAGAGAACCACTGGGTCAAGTTTGATTGCCTAGTACCGCGAATAGTCCATCAGAGTTGCTGCAGTAGGGCCTTCTGGGGCCAAGGGCCTGATACATTGGACAAGGTGCTACTCTCAGGGCCTTACGGTCACTTCCTGGAAGGGGAACAATGAACTGACATTCTATCCTGCTTCCTTCTTCCTGGAAAAAATGGAGCATAAAGAGTTATTAATACCCCCAGCTGATGATGGTGGTCAGCAGCAGAGAGTGTGGCTGGCCGAAGGAGCTCGTGGATAGTTCTGAATAGGCTAGAAAAGGAATTTCTTTTATCCCTTTCTTTACTTCTCCTTGATCTCAGTGCAAAATATGATGAGATCATGGAAAGAAGTAATCATAAGAAGTTAGAAAAGGACATTCACAGTCCTTGGAGAGACTGACTGATCTAGCATCTAGCTACACAATCAAGTGACAGAAACCTCTGAACTTTGCGGCATCTCTCAAATATTACTGGAGAGAGGAGTAGCAAGAAAGCACTATACCTCAGTTTTAATAAAGAAGGTTCCTGTGTTTCTGGGACTTAAGGAAACATGAAATGAAGCCCCTGAAGCATATTTCCAAAGCATTTTGACATTTTGAGGAGCTCTTATCTTCAGCTCTTCTTCTTCAGCCACTTCTCAGCTGATTAACTCACTAAGGAACCTTAGCAATTAAAGACTTTTTAATGCAACCGGTAATTACAATTTATGATGCCCTCCCATTGCCCTTGACACTTAAGCATTACTCCCACATGAGATGCAATACACACAGAAAACACACTTTCTCACACAATAATTTGGCAATAACATTGAGAACTAAATGTAATGCCAGCAGGTTATTTTTCAAAAGGTCAAAGCTGAGTGAGGACTGAAAATGAAGGGAGGTTTTTTTTTAATTAATTTTTGAAACAGAAGCTGATAAAGCAATGTACAGACCCAATGATAGATGTGTACATATTTGTTCCAAAGGAGCCAACCCCTGAAGCCTTGTAGTACATTGATCTTGTTTGTACTTTGGGGTTGTTTTTTAAGAAAGACAAAAACTGAGAATCGCTCGAAGCTGTACACTGTTAAACTGAAAGTTGACTGTTTTTCCTAGTCTTCCTGTTTTTACAAAAAAAAAACATAACATATTTTTGCAAGGTATGGCTTTGCTTTTTCAGACCTGATTGAAGCACTAAAACTGAGACTGTGAGCTGAAAGAACCGGTTAAGAGGAGTTATGTTTTTAGTTATGTTTTTTCCATCATGTTCAAGGTTCAACTACAGAGATTCTCAGTGGCAGTGCCCAGAAAGATCTCACTTTAAAGGCTCTGAAAACTCCCTTTCTTAAACAGTTTTTTTTACTTTGACAGGAGATGTTGTGCTCATATAGGATCCCATCATTCAGACTACAAAAGTTATTTCACTTTATTAATATAGTATATGTATTATATATGTATATATGTATTATTACTATAGGATTTTTTTCAGTGTTTTTCTCACTGGTTTTAAGTGGACAGGGCTTATTTTGGAAATAATGTCACATACTTTCATGCACCAATCAGGACCCAGTAATCACTCAGCTTAGTATAGCATAAAGAGTCACAACAGGGGAAAACAGCTAGCCTGGTTCTGTCTAAAGGTAACCTGTGTACTAGCGCATCTAAAGCTGACTAATTAACAAGTTATAGTTTGTTTGTTTAATCCATCCAAAAACTGCTATGCTTTGCTAAGATAAATGGCTACTAGCTTCAGTTTTATATTTACTGTATAGACATGAGAGTGGTATAAACTCTTCTTTTGACTCTCTGCAAGAAAGCTCATTTCCCAAATATTCCCTATTCCCTATATTTCCCTATTCTTTAACACTCATAATAAATGACTCACAGGGGCATTTTCCCCATAACTTTAAATGTTATATGTTATTGTTGTTTATGTAGTCATGGTTATTTTATGTAAAAAAAAAAAAAGGATTTGGTATCAAGTTTTCAGGGGCTTTTTGCCCTTTAAACATGCCCTCATGTTTTAGCTGACTTCACAGCAGATTTGAATCACTTTATCTCTTGTATCTCTTGTATGAAAGTCATTTCTTTACACAGTTAATCTTTTTCCAAACCACTGTGCTGGTGGTCAGAGGTGACAGCATTCATTTTGCAAATGGTAAGATGAGTAGTCAGTGAGAGTCGCTCAGTGACATAGGGGAACGGAGTGTGTCTCGCACACCAGTGTTGGCGTGAGACACAGTATCTTTAAATGTGTGTGAGAGCGTGTGCCTGGCTGTGTATTAAAACTGTTGTCAGAGCCCTCTGAGTGAAGTCACTGATAGCTCTTCTAGCTCATTCTTGGAATTCTTTCCAATGGAAACAATCCCATCACTGATCCCAGTGTGTCAGCAGAGTCTGACCTGCCAACCCCTGAATTCTCCCCGACTCCCAACTATAGTCCACATTAATGCTGTTTCACTGTCACTCCTTTACACATAAACTGACAACAACCCTTTCCTGTACCCATAACATAACATAACCCCCCCTCCGTCTTCAATCTGGTATGTAACTAGGAGCAAAATAATGCTTATCCAATGAACTCTTTTTCCACTCCCTCTCCTCATTTTACTTTTCCAATGTGGTTGTTTTCTTGTTCCTTCTATTTTTCGCACTCCCAGACTTTTATCCCATTCTGTTGTTTCAGCAAGTTTCCCATACTTGCATGACAGTAGAAATGTACTCCGCATTCCCACAGTGCAGGTTATGTAACGTAAGTTAACATTTCATTATAAACAGTGCCCCTGTTCTTATAACCTTGCTATTTTAGTACTGCAACCTTACTGTATAAGCCACCAAGGTTTATTCTGTGTGTGCATGCATAACTGTGTCTATGTGTTTGTGCAGAGCTTGCAAATGGGCACATGTGCTTGGAGGTTTTATGTATAACCGTGTCTGTTATTATGAGTGCCTAGTGCGTAAGGGAAAGATTCTTTTCCCATGGTTCCTTAAGTGTGAGAAGAAAGTAGAGCTCTCAGGACATGAAGCAAAAACTCTGCTAGTTATTTATAACCTGTCTGGAGACGGCCCACCAAGCGTAGACACATATCTGGCACTGTCAACAAGAGAAGAGCTAGAGTATGATATGCTGAGAGGCATACAACAAGGAGGGAGGATTAAAAGGGGAAGGGGTCAGGGAAGGAAAACAAAGGATGTTGAGGAGGTAGAGCATAAAGTACACCTGCACTGTGACATGGATAAATCACAGTTTAGAGACTGGTTGTCTCTCCTGGTGGCCAACTTAGATAAGACTTGATCTGATAAGGCAAAATGCAACCATAGCAAAAATGACACTTGGGAACTTGCTTAGTGTCACTATGCCCTCATAAAATTTAACTAACGCACTTTCCAAGTGCACTTCAAACAGCATGGATGGAAACAAATGCATGAGACCTCCAGAAGTCAGTGAGGTAACTCATTTTCTTGTAATCTGTACTTTCCTTGAATATATTTGACATTTGAAAACCCCACAGTGCCATGTGATACACCAGTCGAGAACAGTGGTTCAGGAAGTAGTGATTGCTATTCATAACAAAGCTTCTACAACATCACAATTAATCAGAGTCAAGCACACTCAATACTCTGCCAAAATGCTCTCTGTACCTGCACGTCAACAGACCAGCCTTTGAAGACATAATGCAACTGCTGGACTCATAACCACAGCACATACTTGGACAGATGAGTCTAAGCACCCTGGGACTCATTCTCTATTTAACAGGGTGATGTAAGGTACATCTCCATCTCATCCTTAAGCTTTTAAAGCTTTGATCAATACAAGTCTGCGAGCATCCGCTTTATATCATAGTTTTGTGTGTTAATGTGCTAAGCCACAGCCTGCTGTTCTTCCATAGGCTGTTGTTGATATAAATAGACTGCTTATGGCCCCGCCACTCTAATCCTTATTGCCTAGAGACCAGGGTGGAAAAAGGGAGGAAAGAGAGAGGGGATAGGACCAGGACATACATGGAGATAAACACAGAGAAATTAAGATGAAAAACTGGAGTAACAACAATGTGCATGTGCTGTTACAGGTGTGAGGCCGAGACAACGTGAAGAGGAAGTGAAGTGAAAGAGAAGAAGACTCAAGTTAAATCATCCATGTCCCCTCTTTGAACTACCAAAAAAGCACAAGAGGTCATTAGAGGCAAGAATGTTTAAAAAAACAAACTAGATGAGTTTTCTTTTTTTCAATAAAGTCTCGTTAAAGTGCTATCAATAGACTCCATTGAAAATAAACCAAAACACAGTGTACAATGCCCGAAAAAAGTCACTCTGTCTCTCCCACATGGATTTATGTAAGTGGAATGGCATGTCTAACATGAATAAATGTTGTTGGTCTCTGTTAATTTCATCCAAACGTTCACTTTAAGAAAAGCTGCATTTAACTTGGCTTACCTCCCATGTCGTTTTTAACAGCAAACAGAACTAAAGTGTACATGTTTTATGTTTTTCATGGATTAAAATGACTGTGATTCTTACCACAGGGCTTAGATATTTGAAATTTTCAAAGGGAATATGATTAAGAGTATCTGATCAAATTGCTTTTGCTAAATTATCTCGGACAAGCCTCATTAATCATGTGGATGTGCTTCTCTTTTGAAGGTGAGCTGGCACTAAACTGAAAAAATGAGAGCTTGTTTCAAAGCAAAAGTTTTTCCGTTCCCCTCTGAAGTGATGCGTTGACCCTTGAGGAGTTTATACTGACAAAGCTATACAGTTCACTCAGTCTCTCAGATAGAGTGCATGCCATAGGGAGCAGGTCATGGAAAAGTCTTGAGTTTGACTAAGTGCACTCTCTCTTTTACCCTGTCTGTCAGTCCGTGTCTACCTCACTCACCACACACACAGCAGCATACATGCACACAAGAGACTACGTGTGCATGCTCGGATACACTCAGACACATTGACCAATCTGCGCACGCACACATCACTAAATGCTGAGGTAATTTGTAACAGTAGAACAGCTCATAACTGTGGGTAAAAGAAACAAATGACACATGCTAGGATTTACACTACTTTAAAAGGCTATGTTGGGGGACTCGGTCAAGAAGTATATCATCAATACCATGCTTGAGATTTGAACGAGTTGCTGATATATTATTAACACAGGGATATTGATGGAGAACACCGCAACATGAGCAAAACCTCTCAAGCTCTGAAAAGAGGATTAGTGAGCACAAAAGTAGTCACAGAATTGGACATATATCCAGCCGTGGTTCATTTCAGTGATTGCAAACATGATTTTAAGACATTTATGTCACTGCAAAGGTTAAACTTCCAGAAAGGAAGTAGGCTATTAGGTATAGTCTGTTTAAACAATGTGACGCCTACTGGATATTGACTCTTGAAACACTTCAACCAAGCGGCATGAATGACAAACTTCTCAGTGTAGTGTTGTAGACTTGTCTTGTTCATTGTTAACCCCTATTAATGACTAAAAGGATGATGTTTTGATGAATGGAAAAATTACTTTTTAAAATTCTCACCTGGTAATGAATGATAACATATGAATGATTATGCCAAGATAGATTTATTAATTCCCTTTTTTGTCGTTGCCTACGTGGGGGTTGTGGACTTTATCTTGTATTTAGTTTGAAAGGCTCAACTGATAGAGGCACAGTTTTGAGGTCCTAGTTCTTTCCTTTACCATTTTATTCTTCAACTCAACAACATTTTGAGAGGAAATTTACTTTTTACTCCACTACATTTACTTGACAGCTATAGTAACAAGTTACTCTGCATTAACTTGTGATCAGTTTTTGAAATATAATTTACAGATTAAACTATCCAACAATATTATATATTATTATATAGAGTAGCTAAAAGCAGATACAACATTAAAAATGCTGCTCAGACTTTAACTATAATTATATAATATAATATAATATATATAATAATACAACACTCACGGGGCATTTTCTGCACAGTGGACACTATTACTTAAGTACATTTTGTTGATAATATTTTCACATTGTGGTATTAGTATTTTTACATTAAAAGTAAAAAAAATCTGAATAATTCTTCCACCACTAGTACATGCATTAGCAGTACATGCATGGACTCTTTTTTTTCCCCCTCCTCTATTGTATTCATCTCTCCCTTTGCACTTCCTACAAAGACTTGACACCACGAGTTCAGGTAATATGACTACTGCTTAAAATAAAACAACTGGAGTCATTATCAGCTTGTGAAATCTACAGTGCATTCTGCGTCGCTTTGGCAAAGTTTTGCTGCTGTTGCTGCGGTTTAAAGTGGTTTGCTGTCACCTACTCGAGGCGTGTAACTTGCACAAACAGCACCCCCTGTGGACGCCTGCGTGTAAGTGCAGGTGAGAGGTGACAAGTTGAGAGGTCGTGTTAGCAGAGCGGTAAGGCGGCTATTACTTTTTGCTGCAGCCATAGTAAGTAAAGGCACTCAAAGACAAGCAAAGCGGTCGTCGCCACGGCTCATACATCAAACAATAACAGCTCGGTTGCTAAACAGTTTCAACGTGCGTCAACTTCTGGGGACGCAAATGTTGGTAATCTTTTCGCTAGCTGATAGCTGGCTTTGCTAAGCTGCTATGTCGCAACCGAGTGTTTGGACTAACCGGAGCTATCGGAACTATTAGCTCTCCTAAGACAAACTTTAAATCTGGAGGAAAAACACACGAGAAAGGTGGGTATGTTATGTCACCCGACGGTTAGCCGATGCATTTTGGCCAGTTCTGTTTTTAAAAAAAAAAAATAATAATAATAGCAGGATAGCGTTTGATTAGCACGAACTAGCTTGTGTTTTATGTTTGGGTTTTGGGGTTGCTAAGTTAGCATTGGCGTTGTTGTTCGTACCTGCAACCAAAGAGCACGATGACAACAGGTAGCCGTGTCGTCTCATGTGGACGTTATAGTGTGTAAAAATAGATGGTAAGTTATATTTGATAACTTTATCTTTGAAGTTCATATCACGGTGACTTCTGCTCTCAGATGTAACGTTAAGCAATGCTTCGGTAAAACATGTGGCCAGTAAACAAGCATATTTTATCATTAGTTTATGTTTTTTTCCCTTACCCAGTCCATTTTTCCACATCATCTCACCAGCTTGTATCTGTAGGGTTGTCACTTATTTGCATACAAGAGTAGGGTTGACTGATTATTTACGAAGCAAACACGCTAACCGAAAGGACGATTATTTACAGACAGGACATGTGAAATCTCGCCCAGGGCCCGGTTGTGTGACCACTTATATCAGTTGTCTTAAAGTTAAACGTTGTCTAACCCGTGTTGTCCTTTGCCCCACCCTGGGGTTGTGGAAAATGTGTGTACGTTAAATAATGGCGCATTTGCTACTCATTGGCCTCGACCAGATTGCATCAACAAGGCGTGGTTTTAACCAGTGGTTCTTAATGTGGGTTCATTAAATCTTAGAGAAATGCACAGCGTTATTGCGTTAATGTGTGATAGATTGGACAGGTCCACAAATCAGCCACTGACCTGCACCTTGCCCCCTAACTCGTTACTCATGCATAGGATTTTCGTGCAGCTGCCATTGTTCATAAACCCCGACCAATTCAGACACACGCTCTCAGACACGATCAAAAAGTGATCAAAATGTCTCCTTGATCTTAATGCACAGTGTTGCTTACACTGGTGTTGTTGTTGGTGGCAGAAGCTATAAAGTTAGTACATTCATTTCCCCACCTGTGTGCAGTGACAATGCATGCACACACCATGTATTACCTTTACCTGCCTGTGCCTGCTTGAAAGTTAAAGGACAGTATCAAGGATACAATTATTATTATGAAGCTTTTTTAGCTCACAACACTGTTTCCTTTTCCACCCATACAGTGAGAGCCTGGTTGCTGTTGGTATTGTTGATGGGGTTACATTGAGTGACACTAAGCCATGTTAGATATTAACTTTTTCTTTTTTCTTATTTTCTTTTTTTCTTTTTTTCTAATGCTTATTTTTTTGCCATTTAGTTTGTCTAGTGAGAGATTTCGAACTAAACTGTGTGACATTGACCATGTTGTGGGGTTATCATCACAGCATGTTGAAGAGTTGTTCAGTTCTGGAGGAGGCTTGTTCTCTCTAAGTGTCCTTCAGGTTGTAAAACAGGCCTGCACTTAAATCTATTTGCAATTAATTTTACAGCTTTATCTATTTCATTCTTCTCTCTCTCTTTCCCTCCGTGTCTGTCTCTTACACACATACACACACACACACACACACCACTTAAGCTCATTGTTTAGCCTAGACATGCTTGACCTCTTCCCTCTGCTTTGCTCTGTTGGGATGTCTGGTCTTGGCTTACTGTAAGGAATGCAAAATGATTGCCAGAGAATTCAGACTTGGACTATGAGGAGTATGTGGTGCGTTGCATGTGGTGGTGTGTTTGGGGAAGTGCTTTCACAGTCATTACTATGGTGATTAAATAAATGTTAAACCAACCCAAATGGATGGCACTAAATCAAACTCTCAAAGTGCTACTTGCTTTGGAGCATGGAAACAAAAGTGTTTCCGTGGATGCCTTCTATAAATAGTACAATGTCCCAGGTGTTCACGCCAAGCCGGAAGAAAAACATGTTTATTTGACACTTAAATGTTCATAATTCCATACACTTCTCACATCTCTGGCTCCAGGTGTGTTGTGCCTTTTTGCTGTATGTATGAGTAGGCTTGTCTGATTGTTACAGCAGCCACCCAAGGGTGTGGTTTTTGTTTTTGTGGGGACACAGCCTAATTGTGGCAATTGTGCTGAGCAAGCCTGTTTTTCTCACCTCTCTCATGCCTCACATTTTCCGTTGTTAAAACCAGTAACCCTTAAACCCTTACTGCCAGCATAATCATGCACGCAAACACACTTGCTTCTCTTAAATGCACCTTCAGCCACTTTGGTCACTGCCGTGAGACTTGCTGCGTCATGGTACCGCAGAGGGTGTCAACGAGGGCAAGATGATGGGAGTGTTGGGGGCAGGTACTGTGAACTGAACGCTTGTGCAATCATAACTGTAATTGAGGTGGAAAGGTAAGAACCGCAGTTCATACAAGAGAAGAAAACACCTGCTGGATGAAGTGGCTCCCAGTAGCATCAGCCCAGACACCCTGTATTTCCCCTTTTAACCTCTATCCCAGGGGACTTTCTAGTAATTGGCTTGCTCTACCGGAAGCTAAACATTAGTGAAGCTTATAATTTCTTTAGGTGGTTTTAAAGAACTTGCTTCTGAACATGCATTCCATTTGTCAGCAGTGCTCTGCTTCTTAACTAGATCCAGATTGCAACTTGCACGAACAGACGCCGTTTTTCAAAATGTCAGATTTACATTATTTATATTGCCCTTCATCACAAGTGTCTCAGCATGTAAAAGGGCAGCACATCAATACATTTGACATTGCTCAAGGGCAATTTGACTTGGTTGCTATTGAGATAGAGATAGTCATCCACTTGCCCCAGATTTTATAGTTTAGGTTTGACTACATGGGAATAAATTGGTCTATATGGGCTTTGCATAGTGACTATTCGGGTCATTTGCACACCAACACAGGTACTTTAAATTATTCAGGCTACTTACACATCTCCTCAGGTTTGGTGGATCCATACTAGGACTTAAATGCAATCACACAGTCCTGAGAACAGGTCTCTACAGGCAAAATGAGAGAACAGGTCTATACAGGCAAAAATAAGTGGAAAACACCTGTGTGAATGTACCAAAGTGTAACAGGAACATTGTGGTCACCACTGGTGTCATTGAAATGACAAGGGATCCCCATTGGCAGGTCCACATGAGACCCTTTAAACTTATTAGACATGTCAGGGACAATTGAAGGTCCGGTTACTTGGTTTTGAATTTCGGAAAGATTACAGGCTCAGTTCACTTGCCTCAGGGATCCAGTAACCCTGTGGCATTTCTGCTATGTTGCACCTACTTGTTAATGAACATGCTTAACCAGTATTCAGTCTACTTAAATTGTTTCTATTTATGTTCAACCTCAGCACTCGTGTTTTATGAAGTTTGTATATGTGGGTTTTTTGTTTTTTCAAATCAGTTGTTAGCAGCTGTTTCCAAAATAAAACCTTTTCACGGCTGCCATTTTGACATGAAATAGTGGTAAACACAGGTGTAACCACTTGTGCTAATGAAGGTTTCGTTCCATTCAGGTCAAACAGAGTCAGGGTGCTGCTGGTGTCTCGGTTGGTTCACTGGAAAGTCTGCTGTACTAAATGGAACATAACCTCAATTAGTATCATTGGTAACGCCTGAATTTACCCTACTATAATGCTTACAACACAGTGACGTATAATGAATCACAAGGGCAATTATCAATCAAAGGTTGTAATAAAATCATTAATGTCTTTATAAAAGCAGGATAAAGTTCAAAGCCTTTGATCACTTCAATTGTACTTTCATCAGTCTGTTATCTTGTCAATTTTTAATTTCCTGGGCACCTAGAAAGCTCACCTGGTAGATAATGGCAGTCACAGATGTGTAGAAGTGTATCTGCTGTTATTTGGAGACATGATTCCTTTGTGACGACACATGTTTTTATTTAAATGACCACAACTAAGATAGATATAGGAAACTTACCTACATACTTTCTGGATTGTTTCAGGTTCAGGTAGGATTTAGCAATCTGAATGCAATCTCCTGTCCCTGTATATCTAATTTTATATTCATTCATTCTATTATGTTTTGTGATATTTTTCCAGTAGTGATAGTGATAGTTTTCCAGAAAACCTGAGAAACTATGGAAAGAATATCCTACATGGTCCTGCTTTTAAATCCGCAATATTGCCAACAATATTTGCACCCCATATTAAAGGGATAGCTGCCACGCTGCAGTGAAATAGTACAGCACAGTACAATACAACAGAATGGCACAATCATTGTTTTACATTTATATTGTCTTATGGTATATATCATCATATCACCTGCACACAGTTCCATGTAGCTTAATTATAAAAAAAAAGGCAATGCAGCCGTTGTTGAAATTTCAAATTACACTTCAGTATAGAGCTTCAATATAGTCGGGATATTTTATCACCAGTTATTTATTTTAAGAACATCAGAAAATGTTTATGCTACTGTACAGACTGTACAGTCAATGAATATTTTTTGGAGCCACACAGCCACAGTTGATTTAGTGACCATGCACCCACAATTTGTTACCCACAGTCAGAAAGGTTCCCCTATTTACATTCCACACTAGGAATGTCTGCCCTGGATTTTCCACTGTTTGTGGGAAAATATGTCGGAGGAACAGCAGAACAGCAGTCTTTGCTATTGATGAGACTGTCGATAATCGCATTTGTTCCGTGTTACGGAGTCGCTCCACTTGAGATCATTTCCATAGTGGAAATCTTAAGTCAGGAATAAATTCCATAAATGTCATATTTTTTTATCCCGGTATGTTTTGACTGCCATTTTATTTATCTTATATTCAACATAATCTCATTCATCTCTCCACAGATGGCTGTGTCGGTGCGGGGCCTGTACTTTGTGGTGACCCTGTTTTTGGGTAGTTTCTTTGGAAGTGTCTTCATGCTGGGTCCTGTTTTGCCCCTCATGCTGCTGTCTCCTGCTTGGTACCGCTGGATCACTGATCGCATCGTCGCTACCTGGCTCACCCTGCCTGTGGTGTGTACACCAGCTTAGCCTTTACTTAGCCTACTTCTGTGCATGCCAGATGGTCTTTGGTTAGCTGTGTTTGACACCGTTCATCCTGATAACCTACGTCATGTCAGCCTTACTATTTAATGTGGTTTTATCTTTGTAAACTAAATTCATTCAGATTCCCTTTGAAGACAAATACACAAATCTTGTTTTCAGTGACTACATGAATTGATTGCATTATTAATTTATTTTCTTCTCACTCTTGTCTCTCTCTCAAATTTATCTTACCACCTTTTCTCTTCCCAGTCCCTCCTCTCTCCCTCTACATCCTTTTTAAATGGTCATTCTTGTCACCCCTTCATTATCCTCCTCTCCATTTTTCTCTATGTCCCCTTTTCCATTCTCCCCTCTCTTGTACTTCTTCATCCTCCCTCCTTCATGGCATCTTTTCCCTCTGTAGTCCTTGCTAGAGCTGGTATTTGGCGTCAAGGTGGTGATAACAGGTGATGGCTTCATTCCAGGGGAGCGAAGTGTGATCATCATGAACCACCGTACCCGTCTGGACTGGATGTTCCTTTGGTGTTGTCTGCTCAGGTACAGCTACCTTCGTCTTGAGAAGATCTGCCTCAAGGCTGTCCTGAAGGCTGTGCCTGGCTTTGGTGGGTATACAGTGGGTGCACTGTCCTTTCCTGTACACACACTGACCTGCACACATCGGCATACCATAGTATAATATTTAATTAATTCATTTCTTGAAAAACATCCTTACATCATTGCAAAGCAGTTAACCTTTAATAAAGGAAGAGGTCAAATCATTCAAATGGAGACTAATGAATCTAAATATAAAAGTTTTATCTATATAGCCCAATATCACAAATTTGCCTCAAGGTGCTTTTCCATCTGTAATGCAAATTCGGATGAGTAGAATGGTATGAAAATGCAAGATTATTTGGGAGCTAAAACCACACGTATCTAAAACAGTTTAAACTGTCACTTAAATCATATATGAAGGTTAGAATTTTATTACAGAGCTTAGTTAGCTAGCTGCACCTAATAAATTGCCAACTGAGAAAGTACCAAAGAAAGTAAGCATTTCTTTCCTGTAGGAAGACGCTGCTTTGACAAACTAAATGAACTAATTTCCAGAGGCAGTATGCTACAAAGTCTCAAAGTCAAGTTTTTTTGCTTGGAAACACAGGCCTTTGCCTGCTTAGAAAAGTCTTGGAATCAGAGCAGAAGAAGTAATAAATCACACATGTTAAGACTTTGTATGTATTTTCCAGGATGGGCAATGCAGGTGGCCTGCTTCATCTTTATTCAGCGTCGTTGGGAGGACGACAAGAAGCACATGGAGAACATGCTGGACTACTTCTGTGACATCAGAGAGCCATTGCAGCTGTTACTGTTCCCAGAGGGCACAGACCTCACTGGTGAGAAGTAAACAGTGCAACACTCCATCCATTCATAGGACAATTTGCCTACATTTCAGTTGTTCTCAATGTATTACCTACCAACCAGTTTCCAGAGCTCAGCGTGGCACCTGTCTTACACCTTTGCACTGACACTGTTATGCAAACACAATTTCAAAGTGATAAGGCACAGCCAAATCCCTTGACGCACAGCCCACACGGTCATTTCTGCAAGAGTGTTCTGATCTTTCAGTCCAAACAACAGCGACACCAGTGTCTAAAGCCCTCTCAGATCACAATTAAGCCAATCAAAGTAGCCGATTAGCTTTACTGGGGGAAGCTCAACTTCTCTTTACATACCATGATGTCATGAGGGGTCCAGTGAAGTTACATCATAATTGGCAAGCAGATTTAGGGCTTTAAAGATTGTTTCACTTTTGGTGTTGTGTTTTCGCCTCTGCATGTTCCCAGCACATACGTCTGCATTTAAGCCTCTTAACCCTCAAGGCTTAATTTGACGCAAGAAACAAGGGTATGTATACAGTGCGTTCTGATGTCTTAAACGGAAGTTGTCTAGAAACGTACATCTACCGAATCAGGTCCAGGGTTCGGTTAAGCCCCTCTAAATTTTTCCATGAATTTTTGAAGCTTGCAGAACCTGTGTGAATTGAATGATTGTACAAGAATGGCAAGTCACAACAGAGACCTGATCAACAAAGGTCTGTCCATAGTCTTTTTATCCTATAAGTCGGCCTCAACTACTTGTTACATAATATGACTAATGAGTCATGATATAGTTTACATGTTCTTGCAACAAGTTCCTGAGGAATGTTTGCTTAATAAACATATTTTCTGTGTTCATGTCCCCCTGTGGTTTTTACAAGTGTGTAAGTGTCACTGCTAGATGTATTTCATGAATATGGTCATTTTTCTATAATGGTATACTGTAGTTTTTTGCAATTGTATTATGAATATATTAGGATAACTTACATGCAATAATTCCTTTACAGTTTATGTACATTTAATGATATTTTCTTTTCCCAATAGACATTAGATTGTAAAGCTATGCTGTAGACCAGCAGCTGTTAAATCCAAAGTCATAATTGATTCAAATAGACAACTAATACTGCTGCCTTTTTATTTTTGGCAGCATAAGCAGTTTTCACACTTCAGTTAACACTACATCAGATGGTGATTAGTAATTAATAATTAGTAATTAGTAGTTGCCAGAGGTTTATTGTTTGTCTGTGTCTCGTTCAGAAAATACAAGAGCAAAGAGTGATGCGTTTGCCACCAAGAACAGTCTGCCGAAATTCGAATATGTCCTGCATCCCCGCACCACTGGATTCACCTTCATTGTGGACAGACTACGAAAAGGTCAGGAATGATCCACAGCAACTGATTATGAAACCATGAAATGTTTACATTAAACATGACAATGATCCACTCATAATAAAAAGATTATTGGTAGTTGGCAGTCAGACACCAGACAAGTGCTGTGTGTGTTTATGTGGCCAAAAAGAAAATAAGTAGGACTCAAAGTCTGTCATCATGATGGAAATATTTTATCAGCAAAACCAAAGGAAAATGACAGTCATGGTGATTGTAGTTGATTCACTGACACTGTTTGTAGAGCGGGAACGTACCTGTTTTTTTTTTCACAATCTCAGACCTGTGCTTCATCCTACTGCCAGCCATTACAACACCCCTGAGATTCTCATGTTTCCCTATGAGCTAATTCTGGCAGTCGTCCAGAGTTCTTAAATACCACCTCTGGCCCTGCCGTCGCATCCCCCACCCGCCTTGGATGCTGAGCATGGCACTAACTCTCCAAGCAGGTGTTGTGAATCAGTGTGATGTCATCAGACTTAGCTAATTCTCCTCTCCCTCTCTTTGCACCGCTGACTGACATGCTGTGCATGTTGTTCTTTGTCCAAGTCCACTGTGCCCCTCTCAGCTCTATTTTTACCGTGGTAGAGCTGAGCTGTACAGGAGCAGGCGCTGGCAGGTGTGATCCTGTCCACTTGATATTTAATTCAGCTCTATCTGTGTTGTAAGGACACTGCAGATCAGTGATAATGATATAGATCTCATGCTAGTTCTGAAGTCAGAGAGAGGATGAAGCTCTAAGCTCCTGGATAATTAGAGGTACATGTGTAATGTAGAGCTGGGATTTTGAAGGGTGCATAACACAGTTACAATGACTAGTGTGACTAGTCATGTAACTGTCATGTTATGACTAGTGTGGATGTGGAAAAAGGATAATATTAAATCTCCCTGCAGTGTCATGCCGTCATGTCTGAAACTGCGTAGGGTATAGTTCAATATCTTGTTTGGGTTATATTAGACTATTATAAATGTAAGTGTAAGCTTTGATCATTTAAAACTGTGTCCCTTTTCCTAGGAGACAACCTAGATGCCGTCCATGACATTACAGTGGCATACCCTAAGAACATCCCTCAGACAGAACGCCACCTCATCCTGGGGCTTTTCCCACGCGAGATCCACTTCCACGTCCGCCGCTATCCAGTGGCTTCACTGCCCACCTCTTCCTCTGACCTGGAGTCTTGGTGTCGAGACCGCTGGGCTGAGAAGGAGGTCCGTCTGCGGGAATTCTACTCAGGCCAACCCCGGGGCTTTGACAGGGACGGTGTCGCACGTGTGCCACCTTGCAAGACGGAGCTGCGAGTGGCACTGATCAAAGCCGCCTCACTGTTGTACTGGAGCAGCTTTATTGCTCTGTGCTTTACTGGCCTGTGGCTGTGGGCTCCATTTAGGCTCTACTTCCTGGTCATGGTAGGTGTGTATATGGCCCAGCAGAAAATGATTGGAGGGCTGGAGCTGCTGGAGTTGTCCTGCCATCGATACTGGAAGTCAATGGCTGCCCATGTGGGTGAAAAGAAGAAGGTACTAGATGGGAAGATGCAGTGAGGATAGAAGACGGGGTCGACTGGACAACGACGCGTTTCCACCTATGCTCAGCAAGGACACTGAGGACTCAGTTGTCTTGGCCTGTTCAGTCCAGAGGGCTAGAAGATCCCCTTGAGGGGACCTGATGCTTTATGCCTTAGAAAGGGAGTAATGAATTCACCTCCTGACAGTATGCATGGCTTCAGTGGAGAGAGCTTAACGTTCTGTTGAAGAAGAAAAAGAGGAATGTTATATACGTTAATCTGTGTTGGATTCAAGGAATTCAGCACACATAATGTGTCACTTGCCCTTTTCTACGTCTCTCCTTGTAATCACTGTTATTTAGCTTGCTGTCGGTGCATTTTTTTATCAGTTGATGTTGTTGGTGTTTATTAAATTGTTTGTTTAGAATTCCATTGTGGACATGTGTCGTAAAACAATGCTGTTCAGTATTTGTTAATACTGTTGCCATGTCTTTGAAACTGGTTTTATTGTATGTGTTGCCCTTTGTTTTATATTGGTGTCATAAATTATGGAGCAGAGCCATAGTACAGCCCACCTGTACATATGATGACTTGACTCTAACCAATATTCAAATCAGCACTGTAGTTAGCTGGATTAGACTGATGGGACTTAGTCAAATGAATCAGTTTCCAAAAGTAGTCTCTAGTCTAGCAAGGAAAGAAAAGGAGTGATGTAATTCCCAGAGAATTATTAAGGAATATACAGGTATATATGTGTACCATTGTTTACCTTTATTGGGTATGATTACCTTTTTATACAAATTGGGGAATGAACCTTTCCCAGTTAGTCCTGTGATGATGTTTATAACTGTATAGGTCTTAAAAACATAAATTATGTTGTTCCTCAAGTAGCTTTTGCACATAAAAGCCAAAGGTGTGAAAAGCCTATGTGATTTAAAAAAAGTAACCAAACAGAATGTAGTCAGTCTTGTCAGGAAAGGGTGGCACACCTGCTTTGAGGTAACATTTGTGGTCATCAACTCATCAAGATCAAAGATCTGACTGAGATCTTACATGTGGATAACTGTAGAAGCAGATGAGCTTTGTGCCCTTTCTGGGAATGAAGGGATGCCTTGTAGAGGCAGGATGTGGGTGGTGCTGGGGTGGAAGAATGTCCTGTTGGGACAACATTACCCCTCGATGTGCAGGGTGGCACAGAGGACCAGACTTGGAGTGGAAAACTGGCCATGAACTCAACCTAATCCAAAAAAGCCCTGTAATGCCCACCTCTGCCTGTGCCCCTCTCTAGAGGACTGGCATTGATGCGCCTGCTAAACTCAATTAGCAAATGACAGCTGAGAAAGCTACTCCAATTGTGCCAAAAAAGGACAGAAATTGAAACAAGATTGGAGTGGCGCTTCAACCACACTTTTAGCCACAGACTCTCCTTGCCACTCAATACCCTTTTTAACCATGTTAATTCTGGGAGTCCGGAAACATTTGTGTTGGACAGTCTATAGCAGTTTCTGTAACACTGTGCAATGTGTGATCTAGTTGACCACTTCAACCCTGTTTTTGTGAGACAAGTGTCTTTCACAGTTGACCACACAACAGAAAGTTGACTGAAGCTTTTTTGTTTATATCAATCCGAAGCTCCTGTAGTTAAAGTGTAAAGGGGCTGTTTCCAGTCACTGTGATCTAGCTGTGTTAACAATTTTATCATCAGCATGTAGTAGTTTACCAAACATGGTACTATATCTGTTTCCTCAACACTGAACCAGCTAGAAACCCCACGTATTACTCTTTCACTTGTGCTGTTTTCTGTTGCCCATTTTACAATCACTTTTTGATGCTGGACCTCTTTAAAGTCACTGTCCTCAGGTAAACACAGTGGACACTGTTCGAGTCAGGCTCTTAAGGGAGGAAATATGTATCTAAATAAATATACTATATCAACTCATTCATGTTTCCACTGTTCTTTCAACTTTTACTAAAGAAATATTGATTGCTGACTAGTGCTTGTGAACTCATTTGATCTTTTGGTAAATGATGTAACAGCCCTTGTCATCAGATTGACTGTAACAACTGTTTGAATGAGTGTGTGTAACAATATTACATTACTTAGGAGTTGCGAGTTCTTTCACATATTTATCATTCCACTCATGTAGAACAACACTTCCATTACACCATTGCCATGTTTTTACTCTGACGTTTTAAGTTGCTGCAGAGCAATTGCCTCTGCAGTCCTTTAATCTAGACTTTACTATAAACCATCACTACACTGCAGTGAATGAGTCAACAGGACCTTGAATGCTCATATTACACAACACCAGGGCCACAGTTTGCCTATTTTATACACACACACACACAC